TTGAATTATTTCATATAACAGTGGAGCATCTTCAAGTGCTGTGCAAAACCCAAAGCTTCATTAATCCACTCCAAAAGAGAACAAAAAAAGCACTGACAAAAAGAGGAAAACTGAGGTCAAACACTGAGTGCATTCACAGACACTAACATTGTCAGACAACTTCTTTTTCTCAAACATATACTGTAATATTCAATCGAACCTTTAAAGCCCCAGTGTCTCTGTGCATGAGCACTGCCATAACAAGTGGGCAACATGCAAGTGATCCAGTCACACTGAATTACTTGATTCAATAACTCTTTCATCAACTTGAAGTTTTAATTTTTGTGGCCTGCTGCACCAGATGTAATAACTCAACAAACACTCAGGATCTGTGCTTAGTTTGCAGACAAGAAGGCAGAAACAAACACAGCCGGTTTCTTCTCACAGATTGATCTGACACAGCTTGGAGTCGACTGGTGCTGCCTGTACCGGAGTGCAGACTAGCCTGGACTGCCCTGGTGTAGCCTGGTGCACGTGGGACAAATGGAGTCACCATGCCAGATCCATCAACACTCCTCACAGGAGACGAAGTGGCCCCGGTCTGTGCTGGGAGTTGTCTCTGCTCGGCTGACGTCTGCACCTGCCAGACATCTTCCTGTGGTCGGGTATAGCAGCTGGTGCTCATCTGTGATTGGCCAGCATCTGCTTTTGGCGTTTGGACTGAGGTCGCCAGCCAGTGTGGCTGATGGTGTTCACTGGTCTGGTGATGTGGCAGCTGCAGAGGAGAGTCGCTGTCAGAGGTGGAGCTGCCGAGGACAAAAAGTTGTATTTTAAAAGTGCATTCAAACAGAGAACATTAGAAATAAAGTCTCAAATAAAGGGTTTGTTGTCTCCGTGGCCTATTTGAGAATTGACAGTAATTTTGTCTCCAGGTTACACCTACCTACTAAATGACGTGCGAAGAAAAGGGTAAGCTGGCTTGTTGTGTTTCTGTGGGCTCGCCATGACCACATATTCATCCTGAGGCAGCACAGACGAGCTGTGGCTCACCAGTGGTGACATCATCATGTACTCCGGCCCTTCCTCACCCGGCTTGCAGCCCTCTATCCCAGCACTGCGGAGGTCCCCTGTCACCACAGCTGGGAGCTTATTCACTGGGAGATGACAGTCCATCTTCATCTTCATGTAGCTGCCGGTCTCAGCCATGTAGCTGTGACGGGATCTGACAGGGCTGAGGTGTGAGGTGGAGCTCACAGAGGGTTCAGGCTCTGCTTTGTGTGGTTTGAAGGGATGTCCGTGATGTTTAGTTGGACTTGTCTGGATTTCAGGGTTTCGGGGGGCCAGGCGAGAACCAAGCGGTCTCACATTCACCTGCTTGTCTCTGTATTTGGGTCTGCAGCCTTTTGGAGCCAGAAGGGTTTGAAGCTGATTGTGGCTGGAGGCGGGTGACCAGCTGAAGTTAGGAAGCACTCGCTGTGCCCTGATTGTCTCACGAACCACTTCATGAATGTGCTGAGCTACTGCTGTGTTTCCTGTACAGAGCAGACATAAGGATGAGGGGTCACTGCCCTATGGTAAGGCAGAAATTAATTTAATAAGCACATTTTTTTATTCTGAATTACCTTGATCTCTTGCTTCCATCCAGATCTCTCCGGGACCGTTTGGTGCTGACCTGCCAAGCTCCAAAAAGAACAAACCATCCAAGTGGCCAAAGCGCCGAACACTTAGCAAAGGTATTGTAACCGATGGCAAAGCACGGAATGCTGCCACTCTGACCAAGATGAGAGACGTAGCTGTGAGGCAGAGCCGGCTCTCCCCCGCCAGGGACTTGGAATAGCCCAGACTTCTGGGCTTCACCGTGACGGGCCACACCTTAGACAAAGGTGAAGGGAACAGGTGAAGATCAGACAGAGATATTTATCCAATAAAGAGCTAGTGATACTTGAAGATATCATATGTAACATTTCCACAGTGGCGTAATATCCCCTTTTCCCTCTTTGCTATAACTTGGGGAAAAACATGGGAAACACCAGATGCTATGTCACAGCGAGAAAAGAATCATTCAAGGCTACAGAATTTTACTGACTAACAGTAATACTGCACAGCACCAGCATCACCATCCAGTCGGTGGGCGGTGACTGGTTTTGGCTTGAATGTTTTTAACTGGAGGCCGGATCACAAACTTTCTTATTCTACAGCTAAACAGTACACTAAAATATGTTTCTGAAAATATCTGAGAAGAGAAACAGGCAGTAGTAGGGGTGGGTGATATGGCCCTAAAGTAATATCATGATAATTCAGGGTATTTTTGTGATAACAATATTCTTGCAGTATGACAAGACAAGGTTGACTTTTTTTGTGTATGTCGACTTTTGTAAGGCAGGAAAAAAGATCCAATAAAAGTCTGGTCTGACCTCTTTGAAGAAAGCAGCAGGGGGCAGAGTGCAGTACCCGTCATCATCTCCATAAAACCCTCCTCCATGCTCTTCATCCCTCTGCTCCTCCTCCATCAGTTTCTTAAGAGCCAGGTACCACTCTTCTTGCTCCTGCCGGTCCTCTGCCACTAGCACCATGGTCTGATCCTTGACATATAGCGCCACCATGTGGCCTTTCCTGGAACTGCCACTCCGGCTCACACTGAGGCAGCACCTCAGGTAAATCACCCTGTGGGGAAGGATTTAATTTAATAGCGTTTTAAATGTTTTCATTACCTTATAGACAGCCATTCGCCAAAATAGTGAAGCCAATGGCCACGGCTTTAGAGTAAGCTGCAGCTGGCGGGATCTTAAGATTTATTTGCACGCTTAAAAACTACCTTGTAGGACTGATAGGAGGTTGGGGTCAAGGGTAACTCAAAAAGTAGTAGTAGCAGTAGTATTCCAATTAATTAGGTGAAGTTATGGATGTATTCAGGACCTCAAACAAAGACTGATACCATAAGGTATGCGCATTTGACTGGTGGCATGCATTGATGTGAAAACACTTTAAAACTTAACTTGTTGAAGTTACTTTTACTAACCCTTGCTTGCTTGATCCAAACAGCGCAGCTTTACCAGCAGACTTCTCCATCGCTGTGAACGTCTCCTGGCTCTTGTACCATTCGAGACGGCTCAGCCCGGTGTGACTTCCTGCTCTCAGGACAAAATATTTTCTCTGGTTCCACTCCTGCTTCCCCAGGTAACCTTGTTTCAGCACATCAACCTGCGGCCCAGGGGAGGTCAGGAGAGCGCTGGCCAGAGGGACCAGAGTGTTGGAGGTCCGGCCAGCACAGTAGAGTTCCTCATAGAAATGGGACTGAGGACTGGGCTGCATGTCAACATAATGGTCCTGAGTGTCCTGGTCCTGCCTCATCTGATGACCATTCATCCATGGAGGCTGCAGAGGTGATTCAACTGGCAGCCATGTTTGGGTGGAGCTGTGGCTGACAGACGCAAGAGGGGAGCTGGAGGCAAGAAGAGATCCGTTTACGTTGGCACACCTGTTGTGCCCTTCTGCACTCTCATTCATTTCAAGCTGTAAACCAGAAACATGCAAACAGAAGAAGTGAAAAACATTTTCTAAAGAAACTCTAACAAGTCAAATTGCCCACGATATAGCACTTATAATCCAAGTACAGACAAAGAAAACAAGGTGATGTACACAGGTTGACATAGAACATAAAAAGCCACCAATGACAGTCATAACAATACTAAAAATATCTTGCAGTAGCACTTAAATTTGGTGTAATCTGTTAAATATTGCACCCATGTGTGTATGTGTATGATTAAAAAAAATAGTAATAAAAATATTGACAATACATTTTTGAAAGAACAAAAATATAACAGCTTGGTAGTAATAGTAAAGGAGAAATTAATTAGCATTAACATTAGCTGACCTATATGAGGGAAATCATCCGAGGTCATTTGAAAGGTTGGTTGTGTTTTTTTTTTTTTATTTATTAACACTCTGTGACACTGTTTATGTCTTAAAAAAAGCAAAAAGTTCAAAAAATATTAATGATAAAAAAAGTAAAGGAGAAATGAATTATAATAGAATAATAATTAAAAAATAATAATAATTTAATATTAAGATGTGTAAGCTGTTGCAGTATGAAAGGTCCTGGCAGGGATGTGGCGATGGGGCCACTGATTAAAAATAATTAGTACTACTTGTTCAGGCTTATTGGGGTATTCTTTTACAAGTGTCTAAACATAATAAATTACATATTGATAAATAGCAGTCTGAAGAGGTATAAGCACTCTATTCATCTTTAGTGCTAAAATTAGTCGAAGGATCCACTGAAAAAAATAACTTGAGACAATTTTAGAGGACTGCTAATCAATTAAAAAAACAAAAACAAAAAAAAAACCACTGGCAGTTTTTTTTCTATTTTATACTTTTACAACATGAGTGTCTTTGGTATCGGATAAAACAAGCAAATAACTTCTTTTTTTCACATAATTTTCCGTCGTTGTGTAAATATTTCATAATTAATAGACTAATTGAACTACAGTAAACATGGCGCCTACATAACCTTAGCTAATTAAAGTAAGCTAGCTGTGTCGCGTTTTCCCTCTCACCGTTAGGACACAAATGTTTGATGAAAACTCACCTGAAACTGACAGGTATTGACAGTACAACTGGAAACACGGACAGTGTCGCCTGTTTTTTTATTTCAGGCTGCCTGCAGGAGTCCAAAAACGGTTTGGAAAAAGATTTCCAAACTAGTTTTCAGTGTAACTTTGGTGTTTAGTCGGAGCCTGTTTGTCTGCTCACGTGCATCCGGTGCCAATCAGTGTGGCCTTCAGGAGCTCCTCGTAAAACCTTACTCTCCAGTAAAGAGAAGTCGGACAAGTCGTTTAATTAAATTCGTAGGCAGGAAATAAGAAATATTTGGCCATTGCAGAAATTAATCTTGATGTACAAAAGCTGATAAATAAACAATAACTATATAAACACTGACGTTTCAATTACTCCCATCAGAGCAAAGGTTGTAGTCGCAGTCTATGTCTTTGTGTTTTTTCGTTTTTTTCAGTGGAGTGCCTAGATCAACATAATGTCAACAACTTTGACAGCAATAAAGATACTAATAAGAGAAAACTGGGTATTATTCTTATAGTATAAACTAAATTAATAACATTTTTCAGCAAGAAGGAGAAACATGGTTTCTAGAGGGCTGCTTTTCTTTTCCAACAACTTTATTTGATCCATATTACAAATTCTTGTAAGAAAAATGACATTTCTATGATTAACAATGCTTTTATCTTCATCACCATGATACAGTTAGTGGTTAGTGTAGCAGACAAAGGAAGTGTTGTCTCTCACAGTGGTTACAGCAGTTATCCCTGTTGAAATAACTGTGAGGAACACTTTCTGCATGTTTCCACATTAGTAACTTCTCTTTGTGAACACAGCCGCTGTCAGAAGAGGGTAAGTATCAAGCAACCTCTGGATACTCATCCCTTTCTGTCTCTGTCCCAGGATGTCCCTCCTCTGGGGTGTCATCTCTCATGTCCTCAGCTGGACGGGCCTCTGTCAGGTCCTGCTTGTGGCCTGTGCAGGACTGGGAGCTGTGGTTGCAGTCTGGATGCTGAGGCTGCTGGCGCGACACGCCTGGTACACACACAGGCTGTCCTGCTTCAGGAAGCCACATGCAAACTCCTGGCTTTTAGGCCACCTGGGCAAGGTAGGATACACCAACCAATGCGGTAAAACACACCTGATCACATGCATTTATAGCCTTATTTGTAATGACATTCACCTCATCTGTTTCCTTTAAATGCCGTGTCATTATTGTAATACTTGGTAATTGCTGAAATGAGAATCTGGAAATGTAACTGTAGCTTTCTCAGTGTGATACAACATGTGCCTAGTGTTGTGAAATTTCCTCTTTGTGTAATTCAGCAAACGAACCAAAACTCACTTGTTTCTTTAATTTAAAAAGATAGAGTTCAATTAAACTTCTGTGTATTGTTTAGTTTAATTTAATATTCATTTGTGGCTCAGATGCAGTGCACAGAGGAAGGTCTCCTGCAGGTGGATGACTTGGTGCAAATATACACACACTGTTGCAGCTGGTTCATCGGCCCTTTCTATCACCTGGTCCGACTCTTCCACCCCGACTACATCAAACCTCTACTAACGGCACCTGGTAGCGTATAATCACTGTAAACCTTTTTCCACACCAATGAAAGCGCCATGGCAACTAAAGCTTCATTTGTATTGTTCTTTTCTCTCTCCATTACATCCTCACTCCTTCCCTCAACCCAGCAAGCATTACTGTGAAAGATGAACTCATCTATGGCCATCTGCGTCCGTGGCTTGGTGAGTCAAATAGCTCATGTTGCTGAATTAGCAACAATAAAGTCAAATGACTGTGATTGCAATCACTGTGTGTGTACTGTGTAGCAAGTATTGATTACACTCCACAGTCAAACCTTCTCTGTCTTGTGTCCCAGGACAGAGCCTGTTGCTAAGCGACGGGGAGGAGTGGTCTCGCAAGAGACGGCTGCTGACCCCAGCTTTTCATTTTGATATCCTGAAGAGCTACGTCGCCAGGTTTAACACCTCAACTAACACTATGCACGTAAGACACACAGTAGTGTACAGATACACGCAAACAACTGCTGTCATTTATAAAATATATGTCCTGCATCCACAGTCTTACTTAGGTAAAAATTTACAAGTATTAATGTCGAAATAAACTTAAAGTGTCATTAGTATCATTAATGTGTTCATCACTTTAATGTTGCAGCTGGCAAAGGTGGATTTTATCTCAATGACTTTATATACTGCTGGGTAGCTTAATCTATGTATAGGATGTGATTTTGCCAAGCAGGACATGCTCCTGGATCAAAATCCAATATGGCGTTCCTGGACCCATCGGTGTGCTGCTCTTGGGCTTCTTTCACAATTCCTTTTTGCTTCTTCAGAGCTAAGGTTTCCAAATTGACGTTTGAACAGTTAAACAAAAATCCTCAGTAACATTAAACAAAAACCTTTTAAGCTACTAAAGGGCTAGCAAGTTGCTAAGTAGGTAGCCTATGCTAATAAGTAAGCAAGATGTTGATCCTTGATAGATTTAGTTAGGTTTATCCAGGACCATCATCATCACGCTAACTCTGGATAATTTGTTCATGTCAACATCAACACAGCAGCCTATGATGGTCAAGATCAACACAACAAGTAGTCCAGGATCAAGGTGGCAATGATGTCCCTGGATCAAACAAATTATGCAGGATAAAGATGATGATGATGTTCTGGATCAACAAACAGATTATCCAGGGTCAACATGGCAGTGATGGTCCTACATATATATTAGAATATTCTATCCTATTGGCAAGCTTACTCATTAGCATGGCCTACCTAGTTAACAAGCTGATTCGCTAACTCTGCAGTAGCTTATAAAGTTTTTGTTCAGTGTTACAGATGATTTTGTTTAATTGTACTAACTTCAATTTGGATAACTAGCTTAGCTTTTAAGAAGCACAAAGGAATTTGGAAAGAAGCACAAGAACAGCACATTGATGATGTGAGAGGGCTGTGATTGGTTAATTGCATTATTGACCCAGGAACATGTCCTACTCGGCAAAATCATGTTGTGCAAATAGATCATAGGCAAAAGGGGTCTAAACTGCAAGGCACAAATTGATTTAGCTGAAGGGATTGTGTTTCACTGGAGCTGTACTTTGTATGATTTCATATGACAAATAAATTGAGCTCTTGTATCTTTTCTGTCTTTCAGGAGAAGTGGCGCCACCTGGTGGCAAAGGGCACGACTAATATAGAGATGTTTGACCACATCACTCTGATGACTCTGGACAGTTTGCTGAAATGTGCATTTAGCTACAACAGCAACTGTCAGAGGTGAGGACACACATTTAAATATGTTCCACAAATATATTCTTCTCTTGATCCTCTATTTTTTTTTTTAAATTATTATTATTATTTTCTCTCTCCAGGTCAACCAGTGAGTACGTGTCAGCCATAGTGGAGCTGAGTGACCTGGTAATAGATCGTCGGCAAAAGATTTTCCATCACTGGGACTGGATTTACTGGAAAACACAGCAGGGAAAACGGTTCAAAAGGGCCTTAAGCATCGTGCACAGGTGTGACCTTCTGACCTTTATGTAACGTAGTAGCACAAACAATACAGAACCTTTTAAGTCTGATGATACATTTTTATCTTATGATATTCCTGTTCTATAGTAACAATTTCCTGTTGTCAACTCTATTCTATGTTTGGGTAAAACTTGTTTGCAGGTTTACCAGGGAGGTGGTCCAGAAGCGACGAGCCCTGATCAGCCAACAGAAGAACACAGAGACAGATTTCTCCACAGCACCACAGAGAAAGAAGGATTTCGTGGACATCATACTGCTGGCAAAGGTAGGAGAGAAGAAGAAATAGGACTGAAAAACACAAGATGTAGAGAAAAAGACAGTTTAATTGCTTTAAAGGATTGAAGATGATGTAATTCTGTATAATTGCAGGATGAGGATGGACGAGGCCTGACAGATGAGGAGATACAGGCTGAGGCCAACACCTTCATGTTCGCAGGTGAGACAGGTTAAAGGGTCTGCATACAACATTCAGAACATTAATGTAGCTTTGAGAATTTAAAGAATCAAACTCTCCTACCTTGTCCACAGGTCACGACACAACAGGCAGTGCCATTTGCTGGACGCTGTATAACTTAGCACGCCACAACCACTATCAGGAGCAATGCAGGCAGGAAGTGATGGATCTGTTGCAAGGACGAGATACGCATGAAATAGAGTGGTCAGAAAACACACACAGCCTGAATCACTGGATGTTCGATCATCGTAGTATTAAGTACAGCTGAAAGTCAGAAATTAGTATAATTTAAATGTGTTATATCTTTGTCGAAAGGGAGGATCTGTCCAGCCTTCCCTTCACCACCATGTGCATCAGAGAGTCTCTGAGGCTACACTCTCCTGTGCAGGCCGTAACAAGGAGGTACACCCAGGACATGGCATTGCCAGGGGATCTGACAGTACCGAAGGGTGAGAGAGAGTAATGATTTCACTTCTATTTGTGAAAGAAAATTTTCAGGGATTTCCCTTTGCCTCAACGAGAACGTGAAAGTGTGATAACCTTCAGACAGTGTCGCACTGAAGGTAGAGTGTTCCCAAAACTATAGTGTCTTTGTGTTACTCCTCCCCAGGTGCCATCACTTTGGTCAGTATTTATGGAACACACCACAACCCTGCTGTTTGGACAAACCCACATGTAAGAAATAAAAAGAAAAATCTTTTCACTTTGGCTCAGCTATGTCACGTTTGACTTAAGTGATCCACTCTTTTTATAGGAGTATCAGCCGCTGCGTTTTGACCCTGCAAACAAAGAGGGACAGGCCTCTCACGCCTTCATCCCCTTCTCCTCAGGCCCCAGGTACTGCGTCCTCATTGCTGTTGTAATATCTGACATAATTCTGAATATGCTGGTAACGACAAGCATTATGTGTTTACAGGAACTGTATCGGTCAGAAATTCGCCCTGGCAGAGCTTCGGGTTGTCGTGGCGTTGACCCTGCTCAGGTTTCGCCTGACCCCGGGGGTGAACCCTGAACTCGGGACCAGCTCTGGGGGAGTCCGCCGTCTCCCCCAGCTCGTCCTGCGTGCGGAGGGAGGTTTGTGGCTGCAAATAGAGCCACTGGAGCCGCACAGCCTGGAGGAGTTGCAGGACGAATGATCCAAGATGACGTCAAACACAATCGCAGAAGCATTTGCCTCACACCTGGAAGTTTAGCACTGTTCTTGTCACTGGATTTATGTTTATTGTATAAGCGTGTGTGGATTATGAGACATGCAAAAGGTCCCACCATCGCTCCTACAGAGGAGCAAGACACACAGACTGTGAGGTGGTTTTGCCATTTTGTCTCTTTGTGGTCATTTTGTGTCTCTTTAAGATGAGTTTGCTTCTCTTTGACAGAATTTTGTGTCTTTTTTTGGTCATTTTGTGTCTCTTTATGGTTCTTTTGCCCCTTTAGTTGTTATTTTGTGTCTCTTTGCAGTTCCCTTTCCATGTCTTTGTGGTCTTTTTGAGTGTCCTCCTGGTCAGTATGTAGGCCAGGGGGGCATCTGACAGTTTGGGCCCCTGGGCCTGTGCCTGGTAGGCCTGTTCAGTAACTAATCCATGTGTATAAATGCATGTTTGACCTTTGTTTTTACAAAGCAATTTGTTAGGCTTCATTACTCTTTTTCCTAAGCTGTGATCCAACAAATAACTACCAAAACATGACTAACTAAACCTGCTAAACTGCCTTCATGACATTCACAAGTGGATGTCACAAAACATCTTGCAGCTCAATGCTGACAAGACAAAGAAGTTAGTCATAGGACAAGGTAGTGCGAACATTCAACCCTTTGTTTAAACAAACATGTAAATTCAGTAGTTCAATCTGGTTTCAGCCATCTCGGAAATATCTCCAGGATCAGGTCATTCCCTCCCAACAAACATCTGGAAACTGTTATTCATGCATCATTCATAACCAGTTGTTTAGATTATTGCAATTCCTTGCTCTCTGGCATCAGTAAAAAATCCCTCTCCCCTCTGACCACATCACACCAATCCTGGCTTCTCTACACTGGTTATCTGTTGCTTTTAGAAATGATTTTAAGATTTTACTGATGACTTACAAAGCCCTGAGAAGCCTTGCTCCAAGTTATATAACAGATCTTTCACTGCCCTAAGTTCCTGCTCACGCTGAGATCCTCAGCTACACATTTTCTTGTTGTTCCGAGGTCTAGATTAATTCACAGAGGTGACAGAGCCTTTGCAGTCAGAGCTCCACGACTTTGTATTGACCTGCCTGAGGAGATCAGGGCTGCAAACTCAGTCTAGTCTTTTAAATCACTTCTGAACAATGTTATTTTTACGCTATTTTTATTGCTTTTATCTTGTTTTACTGCTTTGTCTTTTATTTGGTTTTGTAAAGCACTTTGTAACTGCATTTTGAAAGTTGCGATACAAATAAAATTTAGCATTATTATTATTTTAACATAATCTGTAATATGTAATTTACTGCCTCAACATGTTTATTGTTCTAATGACATGATCAAATTTTTTATTGTATCAAGTTTGTTTTAAATACATTTTAAGTTTTAAAAAAGCTTATCCACATCCTTGAACTTGTTGCAGGCAGAGGTTAAAACAGGTTTAGGACACAAAAATGTGAATATCTTTGGTATCTGAGTTAGATTATGATCTGAATTATGAAAGCCAAGTCAGCCTAGGGCCAATATTTTAGGCCAGTGCATTACTCTTAAATTTAAAATAAAGAAAAGAAATGTTAACTCGGGGCTTGCACATTATTTGATTTAAAGAATCTTAATGAGAATATTCCTGTGGGGACAGTTATGTAGGGTATGATATATAAACATATTTCAACCCATGGGAAAACTTCTTTGTAAAAATAAATAAATAATAAGTATTTGGCAGGAAGAAATACACTAAATTAAATAACTGAAGTAAATCTTTTAAATAAAATATTCACCCTTATATAAATAAAAGAATAGGTAAATAGTTACAGATAAAACAAAGCAATAATGATACCACTTTTTTGAATCAATTAATTTTTGTACCTTGATCATTTGTTTCATTGTTTTAATTGATTTAATAAACAAAAAAAAAAAAATAGTCCACACCCTGAGCATTTCATATTTTCTGGCTGCAGTAACAAAGTCTGAACACTAGGTGGCGGCAAAGTGCCATTTTAACCCAATATTCGTTAAAAACTATTATTTTTATAGTTTTTTCCAGAAGTAACTAAGTTGAATATATTTATGGTGAGTATGTAACAATTTAAAGCCCATTTATGACCATACTGTAAATATAATCCATGTCCCGTCAGAGGCGGACACACACACACACACACACACACACACACACACACAGTCTCTTGAGGCGGTTTCATTTTAACTTTCACTTTCAGCCTCTTCCAACCATTTCTCCACACTTAACAGCCGCTAACACTATTTTAACCTAGCATAGCTAGCTTGTGATGTTTTTATCTTGTGAATAACGTCATGTGACATGCTCGTCTGGGAAAGCAGCTTGGTTTTTCTCTCGTTTTTGAGTTTAACCGACGAAGAGTGAAGATGTGGCCGTGTGAGACAGCAGCCATGGTGCTGGCCGGGTGGCTGTGTGTTTCACTGCTGGCTGCTGTGTCCGCAGACACTGGTAAGACCACCACACCTAGTTACAGTCAGCGTGTCTTTAGACGTGTAAAAGTGTATGTTGTTTGGTTATATGTGTATGTGTATGGTGTGTGTATATGTGCAGGTTGTGTCGCCGTACTGGGGTTTCCCACATGGCCCCACCCAGTAAACCAACATGTTGATATAACGTTAACTACAGAACATTTACACTAATGCAGTCTAATAATCTACAGAGTGCATGTGAGTTGACACTTCAAACACAATACAACACAATAGATTATAATCTACCAATGGAATAGAACTGACATGTATATTACTGAAATAAATAAATAAATAAAAATAAATAAATTTGCATGGTGATCACATGTCTATATATATTTTTTAGAAGAGAAATATTGAAAAAAAAATGTCCCAATACAAAATAGCATGGAGTTTAAATTATAATGGCAAGAGCTGAAAGTCCATTTTAATAGTAATTTTAAACATTTTTTATGAAGTTAATGACAACAACAGCAACAAGTTTTACCTCCCAAGTTACAGAGTATTGTTTTGCACTGGATTGCCATTGATAAATTCGTAATGCACAATACATTTCTTAGAGGTCAATTTTTTTTGTCATTGCAGTTCCATGCATGCATTATTTGAAATAATTTTTGTTATTGAGACATTGGTTATTAGCATATTAAAACACACTGAGTCTAGTTTTAAGTTTTAATGTAGGAGGATTTAACAGCATTTCATTCATAGTAACCAATAGTAAAAAGGTTTTTGTAGCAGTTAAATTTAGAACAGCCAGACCATACAGACATATCAAGGGCCTCATTTTCACAGTAATTTAAGTAATTAATTTCATAATAGTATGGATAGCTGAATAATACTCACATGATGACCTTTGAAAATGTTTTAATTTTATGAGGTCAACTTTTAAAGACTAAAGATTAAAATTGTTAAATTGGTGTAAACACTTATTTATGTCATCCCTGTTACTCGTGTCATATCCTGTTACTCTGGACAGGTAACAGGGTTGACCATTCCAAGCTAATTTGCTTATTGCTAGTTAAAACACAGGGCTTGACGCTAACTTTTTTCCCAAGGAGCACATGTGCTCCTAAGTTGAAAAAGTAAGGAGGGCACAAAGAACTTTAGGGGCACAATGTAAATTAATCAAATAATGTGTTTTCCGTAATAAACGTGATGCAAATAGACATTTATAAGCAAAATTATTTAATGAATTTGTATACAAAATGTACAGAAAGGTAAAATCATCAAGTTTTGAAAAAATATTGCAATTTAATTTTGTCTTTAATGTTGTTATCTTATATATATTATCTTTGCAAGATGATTATCTTATAGCCTGTAATGTTCAGTGTTTCCTCATCCCTCAATTGGGACCCATGGTACAATACCAGTGAAAGTATCATGGTTCTGAGGCAGATGTGCCTTTTGTCATTTATAAAAAGATAAATCACTTTTCTATAATACATCACTGATATTTCAATGGAATAAATTACTTATTGACTTATTCATACTTCAAAAACAGCATCAATAAGTGATTAACATAGGGGGGATCAAAATAAAATAAATAAATGAAATAAAAATCAACTAGCCACCCTCCTCCCCTGACAGTCCCTTCATAAGTAACGAACAGTCCCTAAAGTTTTTCCTCTGATACGCCACATACTGTGTGCCCCCATGGCTCAGCTGTTCAAGTACTTTTGGGCAGTCATGATAACAAGTTATTCACCTGGAGCCGGACTTCTTCGACGGTAAGCCGTTATAATGCGCCGCCGTATTTGACAGGAATACGTAATCCTGTCCGTGTCTGTGACCCCCGTTCAACCCACAAGCGGCGGGATTCGCCGTTATTGTTTATCGCCTCACTGCCGACATTTTACTCCACCGTCACCGCACGCTGTTTGATTGCGTTATCAAAACACGCCGCTATTATTCGGCCTTGCTTTTCAGTTATTCCACCGAATACCGAATGTGTGGTTTTTTTTTTTTGTTTGTTTGTTTTTTCAATATTCGGCCGAATATATTCGGTGCGTAGGAGCCTTCCCCCACTCCCCACTCCCCTCACCGCTGCTCTCCTCACTATACTGGCTGCTGCGCTGTGCAAGTGCACAGATGTCTCAGAGTGGTGGTGCACTTGCAAAAATGTTTTTAATTAAAATGTTTTTTAGCAGCAGCGACGGCAATAATAACGAATGTTGCGGAAACACTGATGTTATTACTATCCTTAAACATTCTCCAGGTCCTCTGAAACTCTGCAGGACTTATTTCCACCGGTACCGTGACGAACGGTCCCTAACTGCGGGGAGAACGGAGCAGGCCTCCCCGGAGGTCCGCCGCTTTTCCCGGTCCGTCTCCTCCACAATTTGACTTATTTCCACGCTGCCGACACTGGGACTATAGGCCTATTCACTGTGCCGACAGTGGCTTGGAAAACAGGCCATAACGCCAGGGCCTGCCCTGCCTGCGAAGCGCAGCGCACCGAAATTCTCCCGCGAGCCAGAGCACTTCCGTTCACATCAGACGCGCATTTCTCCACGCTGGTCGACAAGCGGTTCTGCTCCCAGCTGTTGTCTTCGTCACATTTGGTGCTGTTTTTCCATCATGGGTAACTACCCAGCTTGACACATTAGTTCGCGGCTCGCGCAGAAAATAGACCAGACGCCGAAATGATCGCTGCAGGGCCGGCGGCGGAGCTGCGCGGTGCGGCCGGTGTGGATGACACAGTCGGTTAACATGGGCGCCGAAAGGAAACTGGCTTCACTTCTCGGCGCTTCGAGGCTATTCGCGGTGCTTCCGCGGGCGGTGTGGTTCTTAACCGTGTCACACGGGGAAGAGTGAAGAGGGAAGGCGGCTGGAGTTCCTCCAACATTTGCGGTTAGATTATCATATTTTTGTATTGACAAAAATATAGGCTGCTTCGGCTGATTTTTTTATGCGCACACGTGCCCCTAAATATTTTTTACAGTTCGCACACACCTATTTTTAGTCGAAAATGCGAGTGAAACGCTCGCACTGTCGAGCCCTGAAACAAATGCTAGTTAAAGCCCATGCTGTGTACTCTGAAAGGCAGCTACCTGTAGATAACATTATGAGAAATAAATAATTGTTTAGATTTATATGTTAAAGAACGGTAACAGGATTTATGTTGTGTACTTGTCCCTCCTGGTCAAATGTTAATAAAACATCAAAAATAGCATATCAGAGATGATTTACTGCTCACAGAGATGCTGTTAGTATCCAAGATTAGAGATAACTTCCTGTGAATCAAATCTGGCATGTACTTTTATTTTGGAATGACCTAGGTACACCTGTTCAGCTGCTCATTAACACAAATGGCTAGACAGCCAATCACGTGGCAGCAACTCAGTTCATTCAGCCATGTAGACATGGGAGCAATCGACAAGAACACATTTGGGTGGAAGAACAAAGATATTGCTCTAGTAGCCTACAATGTTAAAGTTAAATAAATATACCCACAAGTTATGAGCCTTAAATTATATATCACGCTTTAGTACTTTGGCTAAATCAGAGCCATAGCGATAGCTATCCCATTAGAGGGACAACAAACTCCGAGAATTTCCGAGCAAATTTTAAACTATGCGCTATCGTGATTTAAGTTTTAACGTCTACATTCTCGCGTAAAAAATCCAAAACTGTAGTATTTTGAAACTTGTAACT